TTTTTAATTAATTTTAAATGAATATTAAAAAACAGTGAAAAATCGCTTTTCCGCAATAGAAAGTAATTTTCAAACAGCGATAACTCATTTTCTGTTAGAGATACGCAAAAATGTTATAGAACAAAAAGGATTTGTTTTGACTTTTTGCATCCAGCCATGTATTGTTTATACAGGTCAGATCACTTGGGGTCATTGACCTCAGTGACCTGTGACCTTAAAGAGCAGTTTAATGAATATTTGGCACATAGTTAAGAAGAACTATTTTATGGAATGGTTTTAATAAGCTCATTTCCCACAAATTATTTTTAGAGGTCACAGGTCACCGAGGTCAATGACCCCAAGTGACCTGACCTGTATAAACAATACATGGCTGGATGCAAAAAGTCAAAACAAATCCTTTTTGTTCTATAACATTTTTGCGTATCTCTAACAGAAAATGAGTTATCGCTGTTTGAAAATTACTTTCTATTGCGGAAAAGCGATTTTTCACTGTTTTTTAATATTCATTTAAAATTAATTAAAAAACTAAAAATAATGCCATTCTGGAAATCAAGGATGTTGTTCTACACACTTGGGGCTACATTTTTTCCTATACTGCAAAAAATTTCTGAGGGGTGCTTCTTTGCGAAAATTGCGTCAGAAAGTGAAATTTGCAATTTAGTGACCTTGACCTTTGACCTACGCAAAAGTTGTCAACAGAAAAGTTGTCGGGCGTAAAAAGTTACGTTTGGAAGTGAAAAGATCATTAATAATTTCTCAATAGGAGCAAAGAAATTCCATATTTTTTGTTTTTGGAAAAATCTGATTTCCCGGAAAAGCACCCCTTATTTTGACTTGAAAATTTGGTGAGCGAGGCCTCTTGACCACCCCAACAACATACTTGAAAATTGGAATGGCATGTTTTCAAGAAAAATTTTTAACATTTACCCTCAAATCTTTCCTGGACGCACCCTTCCACCTTTTTTTTATAATCTCCTAATAAAATCTACTTTCCTATCTGCTTTTTTTTTAATCAATCGACTTTTAATCAACATTCTGCCCTGAAAGCGTTTTTAATTAATTTTCTCCTCGGTTTTTACAAATTGCAAAAGGCAATTAATTGGAATATCATCAAAGGAACTTTTTCCAGAAGTTTTTTTAATACATAATTTATTCCTTTGCGAGTTTGTTGGGTTTCCCAAACGTACGGAGGAAATAATTGCACGACATATAGGCTGTCGCTCCCTTTTAACTTGGACGACTTCACAGTCAATTTGGCTTGTGCCTTTTCGCAAAGTGAATCGGCAGGTGAGTGAGTGGCTGCGCCTCGAGCAACTCGGGATGATAAGTCGCCCGGGGACGATGGGAATTCTGATGACTGCGCGCGACGAATTATTACTGCTACTTCGCTCTCTCTCATTACGACCGTCCTCGTCGTGTTCTGATTGTCTCCCGAGGTATTGAATTGCTTCCAATTTAATTGCACCGTCGGCACTAATTAGGAACGCGAGCGATTCTAAGATTAAATTGTGAATGGCGAGAGACTGAAATTTGATCCTCTCGGGCGACGGATGAGCCGAATCTAAATTTGTTCGCTTGATCGACAAGCGCTGGATTGGAAAAGATAATTTATTAGTAAAATTTAGGGCTATTCAAATAATTAAATTTGCCCCTTAGTCAATTTGGAGGTAAAATTTTATCTGCTATAAAACGGATTGCAAATTTTAATCGGATCTTCCGGTCTTTCCGCATTCTGTTTTTAATTTTTCAAAGGAAAAATTGGGAATTATTAATAATAAATACCGTTCAGTTCGTTGATTAGTAATATTATTAATACAATCATAAAATTAGAGAAATTGATTAATTATTATATTGATAAAAAATTAAATATTGGAAAAAAAACTAATTCTTGCTCAGTTTTTATCATTTACTTATAACTTCTTTGAATCACCCCAAGCCCAATTTGCGCAGTTTTCCTTCATTGAAAAGTGAATGGATGACAGGTTTATGAGTCAGCAGTAGCGAGTGGAAACGCCTGCAAAGTTGTAAATCACTCGGATTTCTTTTATGCAAAGAAAAGAAAATTCCGCAGATGCTTTCGTGGCGCAGGCAGATATGAATAATTTCCCCTGAAAATTTGTGACTTTCCATCCATTCAATCCAGCAAGATAATTTCATATTCAATCTGTTCGTCACGAAGAAATGAAAACTTGGGCCGAAAGAATCACATAAGTATAAATGAGTGCAAACTTTTTTTCCTTCTGTTAAAAATAACCAATTGGTTTGATTTTCCATTAAATTTACATATCACCGAAATTATGCACCCAAGGGTCCGTCGAGTTTAATAATGTATCGCGCTCATTACGATAGTCCGAGCTGATTATGCCCATTTCAATTGCAAACGAGCACCGTGCGAATAATTCAATGCCGACTGCGTGATCAGAATTCTGATTGTAGAGAGGAGTTTGCTCCTGGAAAATTGGAATTCCGCTCGGGCGAATCAGGTGTTGCGCGTGCCCTATACGGATGATCCTCTTAAATGTGCATCAGCGACGCATTATTTTGCAATCCGGTCGCAATTTCCACCGATACGAGTGCCACTCGCAGGGATTTCCAGCTTGTGCAACTGTACTGATGGTCATTATTTGATACTGAACAACAATACTTTTCTCTACACAAAAAAAAAACTGTAAAAAAACGCTACGAAGAATTTCTCGTTTCTTGATATCTTTAAGGTAAAATATATTTTTAAATTTAATAATTATGAGTTCCAGTCAAAGAGTTTTTATTTTTGTAAAACACATTGAGAAATTAAACAAGCTTTAAACTTTAATCCGTTTTTGTTTTAAAATTTAAATATCATGTCAATGAATGTGTAAAATTGACCATCGCTGGCCACGGTGGGTAAATTTTGGACACATTGAAAAAAAATACACTCCTAGGGATAAATTTAATATCCCCTCTTACAAAAGCTCCCGTCAAGATAATACAGAAGTTTTTTTTCCAGAGCTGAAAGCCCTCTTTTGGCGAAACATCCGCGTATTATTTTCTGACCATTGACTGTCCGTTTATCTGCCAGATCCAGAGGTGTCGGACGGTTCCTTTCCATTATCGCCCCCCTCGTTTAATGCGTCTCCAATAAGCGGCAAAAACGACCAAAAGACATAAAAATGACGACGATTCGAGAAGCGCCAGCAATCATCATTAGCACTGGCTCTAGTTTTCGGCCACTCTCCAACGCACCCCGCGCTGATTCGACTCTGGGGAGGAAGACACGCGGCTCGTAAATGGGACGTAGAAATCGCTCCCATTAGGGGTGACGATCGAATTTGTAGCAAAAAATTGCATGCACGCCAATTTCTGAGGCGAAAAAAGTTGAATGGGATTTCTGCATGTCTGGGTCGAAGGTATTATAAAAACTTGCCCATGTCTAAGGTTGTAAATTATAATGAAAAAAGAAATTTAGAACGAAAAAGTTAAATATTAGAAAAATTTAATTAAAATCAAAAAATTTTTTTTTAACTAATTTCTGGAATACTTGCATTTTTTAGAGGTCATAGGTCATCTCAAAACTTGACAGGATGTTCCAATTTGCAGGAAGCTCTAAGAATGCTATAAGTTTTGAAAAGATGCTTTCATCGATGTGGTCATAAATTAATCAGCTTCGGTCTGTATATCATAAAAATAAAATTAAATTAAATGAATTGAGAGTTTTTCACGCTGTAGTCTTGCTAAATTTGAATGGAAACAAGTTTTGCACAAAAATATTTATTTAATCTCACACTTTAAAAAACTAACAATTTTGATTGTTAAGATAAGTATTGAATGTGCGAACTGAAAATCAGCTGTGCTTGCATATTATCTTACATTTTATTCCTTACAAATAATTTCTAGTCCCGGTATATTTTGCTCTATTTTGAGATGATTATTTATTATCAAATTAATATTGTTTTATTAAAAATTTATTTGTTCAAATGTTAAAAGTCATTGACTTACCAGTTGTTGCATATTCAGCAATATTCATTTAAAGAAATATTTACAGTTAAAATACATACCTTTAAAACGATTTGTATCTTAATTTTTTTAAATTAATTTTTTCACTAACAATGAAATATTTCTAATCAGTCAATTTTGTTATTTTTAGATCAATAGGTAGAATAAAAATAGTTTTAATAGTTTCACAATAGTACAGAGGAGAGGCATTTTCCAGAAATTTGTCTCTAACTCTTGCTGTGAAAAAGATCTTGAGTTTAAACAGACCCCTGATTATGTAATATTTTGAGTTAAGAAAAAAATGGGCTTAAAAATGTTTTGTTTTTAGCAAAAGTAGCTAAAAATTTATTATAAAATTGTGATAACGAAAACTACAATAATAATATAATTTCCCTAAACAATTTATAACAGATAAAATACATTTGTCAGTAGAAATCTCCCACACCATTGAATTGAACACCAAAAAACTTGTATCCCTTTAGAAGATTTTAAATCCGGTCGCACTTCTTTGTTTTTTAAGTAGTTGAGCGTCGGAATTCTTCCCTCAAAGGGCTAATCCGGGCGTGAAAGGGGCGCGTGTGGATTTCTGGAATTTGCACCCAATAGCCGCTGCGTTTGGCTCCCTGCTGAGCCGAATGAAAATTCCGAGCGAGGCGCCAATATTTGAGATGCCAAGGAAAATTTAATCCCGGTCGTGTTTATATTCGGCAGCCAGGTCGGTGCGCGAGCGAGCGAGGGCGAGGGAGGCATTTTGAATCAGTTTACTGTTTCATAAACGGAAACGAACGGGGGTCGTGTATAATACACAATACCATCAGCGTTTCTTACACCCCGTCGTCGGCGCGTGTAACGAGAAACACCCGTGCCTCGCTTTCGGAGGAGAAGAAAATAATATAAAAAAAATACGTGGTCGCAAATTCTCCGGCCAAATTGGGTTTATATTAAAATGCAAATTTTGCTTCTTTCCAACCCGCTCTGTCTCTGCGGTGGTATTATTTTCTTTAATCGCTTCTCGCCTTGTGTTTCAGTTGGGGGCGATCCAGGAGTTTTGCGAGGCGGCGCTCAAGAATTGCCCCCCGGGGCCCATCGGACCCACCGGCCTGCCGGGCATCAACGGCGAGAAGGGCGACAAAGGAGATAGAGGCGACAGAGGATTTCCTGGTATGTAACAAATTGCTCAAATTAAAAAAAAAAAATACAAATAAATGTTTTAAAAAATGGAATTTTAAATCATTTTTTATTAACAATTTCTTGCATCATGATCTTTTCACTTTTATAATAAAACATATTAAATATTAATAAAATTTCCATTAAATTGAAATTTTTTCTTTTTCACTATTGAACTTAGTACTATATTTTTTGTTCACATTGAAGGTGATGAAAAATGAAATACTTTGTAATATATTTATCCACAGATTTTAATTTTTCTTTGTTCGCAAAATTGACTTGCCAATAATTTTTTATGAAGAACATTGATTAAATTTTAAACTTCAATTTTAGTTTAAAATTGAAAGTAATTTATGACACTTACCTGAGCACTGTCACTTTAAACATGAATAGTAATTAAATAAAAAAATTATTCTAATTCATAGGAGAGCCGGGTGTAAGAGGACCACCAGGATCTAGAGGAGAGCATGGCCTGAAGGGGCACAAGGGTGAATCAGGGTGGCCAGGTAAGAAATTATCAAGATATTTGAAAAAATATTTGTATTTTATTTTGTAAAGTGCATCAATTGGTCGAGTTATTGCAAAAGCTAGCTTGATATCTCGTAATTTTACATTTTATTTAGTAAAATAATAAAAGAATTTAAAAAAAAACTTACAGTTCATTCGAATACTCTGATTAATTTATATTGAAATATTGAATTCATGTTAACTTTCAGCCTTTTGGTAAAAATTATATTCGAACCAAATGAACTTCAATTACAAATTCACTCCAAAACTTTCTGAGGACTTTCATCCTTGTTTCACTCAGAACTACTCAGAGAGATTAGTTAGACACCCCCGCAGTGTGGGGTGAAGGTGCAGACAATTACCAGGCGCGCAATTCGTCTCCCGGCGCGCCATATTTCAATTGAATTAATTACTGCGCGGGTGTCTGGTTAGGCATCATACAGAGCCGACGGCAAGAAGTGGCGCTTTGTGGTGGTCGGCGCCGAGCATGCATATTTCATCAGCGCCGAATCATAAAATAAATATGAGAGAGCAGGCAGCGGCAGACTGTACATTTACCCCGCCATTACAATTCGGACAAAAAAAGATGCATTTCTCTCATGCAATATTTATGCGCGGCCGATTCGCTAGAGCCGCCGGGCTTCCATCTCACTGCTCCAATTTTTTTCTTGCATGGTTTTTTTCGCGTCGGAAATGAATAGAGCCGTGGGTTGCACTCTCTAGAATGATTACTAGTCATGAAACTGAACGGGTTTTATGCAAATGAGACTATATTTCTTGGAAATCGTTCAATGTACTGCACCAGTGTGGAATTTTTTACATATTAACAAAGTAAACTCAAACCGATCCAGGTCACGAGAGTGAATTGAGAGAAAAATGAGTTTTTGTGTGTTTAAGGAGGATAAAACTGCAAATGTGGAAGGAAAATAATTTGCTGGAGGGGTTGCGACATGTCAACATGTGAGCTTGTTATGCATACGGAATTTAATTCCTTCGGGGTCTCTTAAGAAAACACATTAAACATTTTCCACCCTTTGAGCCAACGAAAATAAACAAAATTTAAAACGAGCTCACTTGCCTCTGGCAAAGTGAAAGTAATCCTTTCATTCCTTTGAAAGGAATATCCTCGGAAATCTAATTCCTTTAAATTTTAGGTGTAAGACGTTCATAAAATGAAAATGTTTAATTTCGGAGCATCACCTTCTTCATATCAACAGGACGGTTTTAAGTATGAATATTAAATTCCATCTAAAAGTGCGGAAACAAATTTTTCTTAATAGAGTTTTCTCTCAACACAGAAATGAGCAAAGCCGACTTTAATTGTGTGGGCTTCGTTTTATGAAGTGTTTGACGTAGTGGAAATTTAATCAAGCCCGCGCTGGTTAAATGAAGAGGTCTCCCTTCGCCTCCTCCTTTGCGAATCATGCAATCTACAATGTTGCGCCTCTGAGATTAGGTGAAAAAAGAAGACTGCTTCTTTTCTGCGGCGCCCCAGGCCCCTGCAGTCAGACGGCGTATTAGGTTTTGCGCGCCGTCTCGTGAAACGACTTCCCTTTACTCGCCTCCAGAGCATTGCAGAGCCACGCGAGGTATCAGATTTGCTGGGCCTCGAGTGCGTTTTTCCACGACATTTTATTCTCTATATGTACTACTTTTACTAGCATCAGCTTTCTTTCTAGACTATATGTGCTGGTGAACAAAAACTTGATAGGAAATTCCTCAGGTTCAAAATCATTTGAAAAGCTAAATACTTTTTTAAAAAATTCCAAAAATTATCGTCGAATACCAATTGTTTTGGTATCAGACCTCGTATTTTGGGTTGGCAGTATTGCATGATTATGCACTGGCCGGTGACTACCGGTTTTTAACAGTATATTTCAGCAGTTTTACTAATTAATATGGCTGTTTACGGGTATTTTTCTTACATCTGATTTCTGCTTCCTTACGCTTGAAGTGTTACTTTGCTTTTGAGCTGTCTTGAGAAGTGGTTAATTGCGTATCGGAGCTTTATTTTTGCGTTTTTGTTACTGGAGGATAATTATAATTTAGTTATTTCGCAATTCATTTCGCCTACATCTACATAAATGGTTAAATATATGGTTGTTAGTAGGTGTGTTTCTTACAACTGCTTGGCATCATTTAGTTCGCTTTACGTGATTTACTGTGTTTTTCTGCTGCCTCAAGATGTGTTTTATTGTGTATTGGTGCCTTTTTTGCGTTTCTTTCTGTTTCACATAAATTATCATAACATTTTATTTTGTTAGTCAATTTTTTTATTTTGATAATTGAAATAAATTTCTATTTCATTAACACCAATTCTCAAATCTAATTATATTTTAAATTAATGCCAGTAGCAGCCCCTTGAAAAAGAAATAAAATGCACTGAAAAAGCTGAAAACACGACGCATATCCTATTTTGAGAAGCCTGCTCTTTGATGAACGAGAGTGCTCATTCCGGCAGGCCCTGCTCCTTTTTCGCAAGCGCTTTCACGGCCGGCTCCGAAAAGGACGTTTTTAACTAGGCGAGAGATGGAGCGGACGAGAGTCTTTGGTGTAATTTTTAATCAGAATTAGCGGACGAGAGGCCTGGAATTAAAATCCATCTGCTTGAGTGCTGGATGAAAGAAGAGGCAAAAATAATTGCAACTTCAAAAGACTTTGGCCGAACAAAAGCAACAATATTTCACGGCGCGCTTTGCTGCAAAGGCTCGCTTGCACAATGAGAGGAAGTTTCTGAACAGCGTTAAGATTAAAGTGGATGTGAACAATCAACAACACCAGATTTGTTTGTGATTTTTTAATCACCTTTTCTATGAAATAATTATTTTTCTAAAAAATTCCACGTACTTGACTTTTCAATATCTATATTTAAAATACCAATCAATAAAGGTGATTTTCATTATTAATTTTCATGAAATTCGCAAAAGCCTTGTATTTTTCTAGAAAATCTTCCATACCACATAATCTTCTTCCAATTAAATTTTTGTTTATAAAAATTTTAAAAAACCTAATCTTATTCAAATTTTTTTAAACACAGAAGTTGAAAATTGGAATGCAAAAACTAAAAAATATTTTCTACTCATTGCAAACTTGACGAGTTCATATCTACTTGAAAACTGTGACGCTTATCCTCGCGCGTAACAAAAGGGCCGCGCTAGAATATAAAACGTGAAGCAGAAACCGCGGCGAGATGCATTTGCGAAAGTACACTTATGTTAATGTGCAACCGCTGCAGTCGGTCGGCCAACTTTGCATGGAGTCCCTTTTTGTCTTCGGGCTCGTAAAAAGCAGTCAGGGGGAGATTTTATCTGTGGCGGTTAGCAGCCGGAGAAAAGCCGCGCCATTATTAAATTACGAGCCGAGCAAAAAACGCTTAAGATGTTTGACAAGAGTTTTATGTCTTTGTTCACAGGCACCCCGGGTCTGGACGGCCGCGACGGTATTCCGGGTGAGCCCGGCTTGGATGGCATTCCAGGTGAGAGAGATATTTTTGTCCTCCGCACCCGCAAACTCTTAACGGCTCGCAGAGCAAAGATTTAGAGATGTTTTCTTTGAGACAAAAGGGAGCGTGGAAAGAGTTATGCTTATCAGTCGCTTTGATTTTTTTGCAGGGAGGAACGGCATGGACGGCATTCCCGGAATAGACGGAATCCCAGGTAAACGTTCGTTATAATATTACTTCATTCTTACAAAAAAAAAAGTTATTAAAAATGTATAAGATAGGAGATTTTAAAATAATAAAAACTGAACAACAATATATTTACAAAAAATACCTTGTTTTATAAAATCTTTTTTAATCACAAAATTTAACTTAATTCCTGTAAAATTTTGTTACCACATATTTTGATATCCAAAAAATCAAATATAATTATTAAAATTTTCTATTTAATTTGATCAAAATATGTCACGATAAAAAATAAGAAATTCATTATATAGCTTATATAATTTAAAAAAATTTAATTTCATTAATGAAGGTTGTTAGTAAATTCTGACGTTTTTTGGGGTTTAAACAATAACACAATTTATTTTATGTTCTACTAGGTTTCAATGGAGAGCCTGGTATGCCTGGAATGAACGGAACAAACGGTAAGTTTGAATATCTTTCTTAAAACTATTATTTTGCGGAAAATTTTCAAATTGATTAGAATCAAAAATTCCATTTCCATTGTTGCAACAAACGTTTTAATTTAACTGAGAGGAAGCTAAAATCCTTCTGAAATTGATCAATAATGGGATTGAAATAATTTCAATATCAAAGCTCTGTCTGATGCACAATTAAAATCACTCGGTTGATTGTTTTCATCACGATAAAACTAGAGAGTGATTGAACACGGTGAGAAAAACAAGGCAGGGTCAGCGCTAATTACTTTTCCGCGTTCGCAATTTCATTTGGCCCAAAGGGTTTCTCTCGCGATCATGCTCTGCTCGCTCGTCATACTGATGGAGCAACAACACCTGCGTCCGTTTCATTTGCCAGCCGTAATTGCTTTTCCGTTCCCACTGATTCACAATACAATTAAGTGTGTTGCAACGCCTCGTTTATGCAACGTTTGCCCAACGTGTCTTGGACTTTGCCCGCTCGCCTAGTCGCTCCCTGCTGACTGGCCAAGTTTTAATTAAAGCAGTTTCGCCCTCTTGCAAGTGGTCTTGCATCTGACGAGCTTGAGTTTCTGTTTATGATCTCCACGGTTGTGTATTTTGGTAATAGTTTCGCTAGCTGAGGATCACAATGCGAGAAGGATGATTTTCACCTTGTTTGCCTAGGCCACACAGAGGGGTGAAATCTCCCCAGACATAGCAAGTCTTATTGTGGTTGTTTAATATATTTTTAAAAATAAAATTTTCAAGATATTGTTAATTTTTAATAAAAGTTGTTAAAAAAATTGAGTGAATAAATTGGCACTCGAGGGGACTATCGAAGAAGAGAAGAAAAAGAAAACAGGCTTTGCCCTCATTGAAAAAAATTGCGTTTCATTTAAAATCACTCACGTTTGTTTTTTTATTTCAATAATTTGTTAATGCTGAGAGTATGATAAGTTCAATCTTGTGTCATCTCATATTTTTATTACAAAATAAGTACATTATTTGAAATCAGAACTCTCTTATCTCGTGTCGTCCTCAAGTAATCCTCAATTTACCAGAGAAAATTCTCAAACGTAAGCTTGTAGAAACTCGTTTCATAGCGAGCGTCCGGCGATAATTTTCATTACAGCAAATTGCACTTGAGGCAATACTATTTGGCCACCAGGGTGTTTGCTCGACCGCCAACCAGTTTCCAAATTAATGCCTGAGCGAACTCTATTCGGATCCCCGTGGCTTCGGCACTGGACAGAATCAGAGGGAGCGAATTTAAAGTTTGCTTGGCCACTCGAAAGGGGCCGACCTGCTGCTGCTTGTTGCTATTTGTGTTTGTGGTGTTGGCTGAAATCACGCTAACATCACGCAGAAGTTTCGATATTCTAGTTCTCTGTTGACAAACAAAGTTGGAACATGTCAATTGGCTATGAAATTAATTAGGTTAGCTTGATAAGTGCACAAATGGGGCTTTAAAAGCACAAAATTCCCGATAAATTTCTTTCATTTATCATATTTCAATATTTTATATTTTGTCCTTTACTTCACATTTAAGGTGTGCAATTAAGAATGAAAAAAATATGTAATTTTTTTCTGGAATCGATCAATATTTTTAAGAAAAAAAAAATAGTGGGCTCAAACAAGAATTAAATTTAAATTTACACAAGGTCCTGTGAAAAAATCTTAAATTATCTAAAAACAAAAATTATTTGTCTAAATAAAAATTTGTAAAATCTTTTGGAGTTATTTTGCAGGAGGTATCATTGATGGCAAAAATGGTTTCAATCTCTGCCAAAGCCGCTGAAATCGCGCATCGAGAACGAGTTATGAATAATAACGCGCAGGCCAAGCTGACCGCACGTGGTTGTAAAAAGGCTTTCAAGAGCAGCACCGATTGGCCTGCAAGTCGTGCCGTCGGGATTTTACGAGGTCTTTTCTCTCTTGGACGCGCGAGTAAAACATTTTACAATAATAAAGGCTTTGAGCTTCGCAGTCTCGCGACCAAACTTTTTATAGCGCAGTTTACCATTTACGTGCTCCATAAATATTGGCCACGTTATGGAAATTTTAATGCGAAAGAGGGAGCCGATGTTTCAGTTTATTTTTGTTCTTCTTCTAGTTATTCGCCTTTTCTTTTGTGCGGAGTGTTGTCTTGTGATCATAAAGCACGGCCGCGCCGCTTCTTGCGTTTTGATTAAAGAACAATCACTTTTTCCTTCCGCAGGAAGAAGGTTGCATGCTATTATAAAACTCACAAAAGTTTTCTCATCGCTAAGCTGCAAATATTTACTCGGCACACATTTCGTCCTGGATGTGACGGCTTCCTTTTCTTTGCTCGCGAACAAAGGCCGGAAAAGCGCCGGCTTAACTTGGGTATGCAACGCGGCCTACACGGGTGTTGCGCCAGTTGCATAAGCTGGTAATCCTTTTCGAAATGATAATTAAATTCGATTGAATGCTGGATAAAAGGATCCTACCGGGCCTTGCATAATAATTTGATTGCATAAAATCAACAAAGGGCAAATATTTTCGATAACAAAATAATCAACAAGTTAATTTTCAAATAATAATATTTCGGTTCCATTGACTGTTTCTAATTACACCGTACGTTTAATTCCACTGTTGAATAATGGCTCATTAAATTCCGTTTGCAGGCAAGCCGGGATTAATGGGACCCGTTGGACCTCCTGGACCCAGAGGACCACAAGGTAAGATGATTTGTTTTCTTTTTAGTGTCGATGAAAACAAATATTTTTGAAAGGGAAAATTGCAAATCAAAAAACATCAAAGGTCAACCAATAATTATCACACATGTCGACAGGTCATCAAAATTTCCATCTTGTTTGTTTTAAATTTGTGTTTTTTCACTCTCGCAATAACACAAACTGTTGACCTTATTCATTGAAAAAAATAGTGAAAAATCTATTTTAAAAATCGCGTTTATCTAAACTGAAAACACAGCACAGTAGAGAGTAAGTCAAAATCTTAATTAAACTTCTGCCATTATGATTCAAATTTTAATTTAAAAATCAAGACATTAAAAAGACCTGCAAATATTATTTTGGACACTTTTAAGCCAGAGTTTTGAGACTTAGGAAGAAAAGCTTACAATTATACAAAAGATGAAGCATTCAAGCATCTGCTTAACTTCCCACCTAAATTGTGATATAATTCAAACGCTGAAAGGAAGCACGGTATGAATATAATGAGACACTGAAGGGCACGTACTCATTCAAGCTTCCACGTTTAACCCCGTCAGATATTACAATTTTCCCCGAAAATAATTTCTTGTCTGCTCCCGAGACTTAAGGCGCGAGCGAAAATAGTTTGCTTCATTCTAGACAATCCTTCTTTTGTATGCCAAATAAAGCGGCGATGATAAGAGAGCAAGCAATTCCCGACGGCATGCGCTCATTCATTCCGACGTGCCGCTCTTTCAATTATTTCATATAACCCATCAGGAGGAATCCGCCAGCTGCCGCTCTATCTATCATCAAAGACTTCCAACCAGCATTCCCTTGCAAATACTAGAACGGTCGGTGAATTATTAAATTATTTTCCTCCATTTGATGTACGAGGGGTTTTATTAAACTTTTAGCCAGAGAAGCGGGTGGTTTACATTAATTTGTTGCAAGTTTGGTTCGCCTTAAATTGGCCGCGCCGTGGCTGACGGCGTAATTTGGTTTGTAATTGGCTCTTTGGCGCCAGCGATAAGCCATATCGGCAATTTTGCTAATGGGATTTTGAATCAATTTCTGCTGCTGGATCAAGTTACAGTAAATTTATACATTAAATTTTCGTTGACAAACTTCAACCGTCAAAAATAAAATTATGGAAACCGTTTCATCTTGAGAAAGTTTGGCATTTCCAATCAAATTTCTAATTAAATTAAAAAATTTCTTTCCTTTTTTAAGCAATATTTTGCAGTGGCATTCAACGTTTTCGAACATAAATAAAGATAGGCCATTATTCAAACAGTAAAATTTGTTTGAATTATAGTGTTCTAAATACAAAAACTTAAACTTTTTTCACAAGTTCTTCGTAATTTTCAATGGTTTTAAATTTTAAGGCAGAACATTAAAAATTCTTGTGGTTACAAAATGAGGGTTTTCTTCATATTTTTTAGGTTAATTTCCCTCACAACCAAATCAAAACAAGTTAATTTGGTTGTGTAAGTACTTTTTTTTTTAATTTTGACGTTTTTGAACAAATTCAATTATTTTGTCAAAATCTTCACCTCCTTTTCGCCGCCTTTGGCAAACTATGCAGCAGAATATATTCTGATTAATTTGCTAGGGAAGTTATTACTTATTGTTAGTTGGATTTTGACAAAAGATAAGACGTAGTTTTTTACAAATGGTTTTGGAAATGAAAGTATAAAAAAAAGCTAATTTTATAACATTTTTAAATTCACTTAAAGCGCGGTTCGGTAGTTTCTATTTCGTTCGTGTAGAAGTTTTTTATTAAAACTCCCAGGTAGTTGAAGAGGTAATTGTGCGTGTAATGACCATCTGGCAGGTAGGCAATTTGCCGTTCTCTCTCTCTTTTTCTTTTAACCCCCACTCGCATCGTCTTTGGACGGACGATATTTTCCCGTCAGCCGCGCGTCTCTTCTCTCTTCTCGAGCAGGGCGCGCGATAGAAATAAGCCTTTCACTCTTAAGTGGCGGTGCTTTATCGTGGATTCTTTAATCCCTTGATGGCCCACCGAGATGAAAAAGAAAGAGAGCGAAAAAAGCCGCTGGGGCAGAGTGCAATAATCATGCCTGCGGCGCATTTCTCTCGCAGTCTCGCTCCCTCTCAGGGGCCAAGTGAGAAAGACTTGCTCCGCGCCTGGATTATGGAGCTGGTTAGTTATTTATGGCTGCTTGTAATTGCAAGTTTCTATCGCTTAATTGCTTACTGCTTCTCTCTTCGTGCCGCTTCAGATCGTAGATTGGGCTTTTGCTTTCCCTTCGACTTTAATATGCTGATTTACATGCAGACGGGAATTGGAAATTGAAATTAGCAAAGTCTTGATAATTATTTTATTTAAAGCAGTAATTGTCAAAATATTGTATGTACCAATCAAATAACATTAATCCCAATGGTTTTTAATTTATACAAATAAAAATTAACTAAAAAGTGCAAGACTATATTTATTTAAAAAAAATTTTAACTGATAAGTTTATTTAGTTTTAAATTAATCTAGTGACTATTAAATAATTTTCAGCATTGACTATTTTTAAATTTAAAATTGAGCAGTGGAATTTTGTGCGTTTAATAAATTTTTTTAAATCGAATAAATTAATTATTAGAAACTAGAAGTAAATATAATTTTCACGGATCTGATATCAATTAGCAAATAATAAAATTCATTAAGAAAGATTAGGTAAAGTTTTTGAAATGTTAGTTTCATGTTTTTATAAATGTCGCTCCACGACGAAGTTCACTTTAAGCAAGATAAATCAATACACAATTGATTAGTCTTTGTTGCTGATCTCAAAATATTATCTCATCAGCGTCTTGATATCTGGGGACGTGAGAAAGGGTGAAAACGCGCCAGCTGCGAGGCCTGTTAGGAAGAAAGCGGCACCTAATGCAACACCCACTATAGAAGTGGAGAGATAGTTTTGGGGGGGGGGCGGAGGGAGTTTGTGCGAGAGAGTTGTGTTTCGCAGTCAGGGCTCGAGATATGATCAGAGTAGGCAGTAAAGGTGGCCTTTCTTATCGCAGCACCAACGACATCATTACAGCGGCCATTAAACGCGGCTGGTGCTCGACGCATAAAATAACAAGCAAAACAAAGGGTGTCGCCAAAGCCGGCAAAAGTAAATAAAATAAAAAACAGAATGACTGGTGAAAATATCCGTTCGTGGCAGGGGATCGAATGGAGTTTTTTATCCCCCTCTAATCGTAGCAAGCAAAAAAAGTGGAAATAAAATTAGACTAAAATCAAGACAGAGCAAAAATAGGATTTTTACTGATTGAAAACTCTGAGGCATAATTTGCACCGCACATAAACTCCACCATAAATGCATCTAGATTGAATTTTATTTCTTCTTTGGATCTTATGTTTCTCCCAACAGATTGTCAGTGCAATCAATCCGAGACCAGAGGACAATCGCTCGGGACAGACAGATATATTTAAGCTGGAGGCTCGTACGTTTATTCCTCAGCCTAATGAAAATAAAACGGCGATCTCGTCCGTCACCGCTTTTTGCCCATTCAGCAGTGCATGAAAAAAAGCGAGGGGAAAAAGCAGGCTTTTTCATATTATCTCGGTTTTACTTTTATTGCATCGGCGTCAGTGGGCCATCGTGCCCCAGATGATGGCAAATTATCCTCTGGGAAATAAAAGAGGATTCGCCGGCCGCTTGCATTTTCAACGGAAGGGACTTTGGAGGGAAAGCATCGGGTGGAAAAATAAAAGGCGAGACGGTCGGTTGGTTGGGTGGGTGGGTGAGATCGGCTAAGGGATGATTCTTGCCAATTCCGCCCACTGGAGTAGAAGAATTTGCAAGTAGTGGACCTCGCCCGAAGAGAGAGTCTTTAAAAATCGCTTTAGGACTTCAACAGAAGCAATATTATAAATTTATGGCTCAGTCTCTAAGCAGCGCTTTATCAGTTTTGGCAACTGTTTTGGCAACGGAAAGGCGCGTTTAATTTACTAAAATTCTACTAACTGCAGAGTATTCAAATGTAAACTCGCTGATATAATTACTATAATTATCTGCTTAATAAGGAAGATTTTCAAATTTATTTTTCAAAGCAATCAAATCACAATTTTTTGGTGTTTTGAAAATATAACATTTGGGTAACTATTGGAATTAATGACAAAATAATATATTTTACAAAAGTTTAAATCTTTATGCAAAGATTTGCATACGTAATTCTTTAATTTTTTTAACCTTTCGAGACCCTTCAAAGTGACATTCATCTCATATTACTGACTAATTTTATTTTTATAAACTTGATGACGAATATCAGTGAAATAATAAAAATTAAAACGCCTGCAACTTCTCTGCTCAAGAAAAAAGCGCACCACTGGTATGTTTCTCACTCTTTTCCAGGTGAATTCTTTCTTGATTGAAGGTAAACAGTAGTTGTCAGTCGAGGGATTGAATTCTCCTGCTTGCATCTCAGCCGCGGACTTTTCCCTTATTGAACGGCCCCGTCTTTAATCAATGTCTGTTACATCCAAGCAGGTTAAAAGACAAAGGAGCAAAAAATATCACAGTGCGTCTATATCGATCAATCAGCGTCGTGGGTAATAATTTGATTGATGAATGAACTTGTTTGATACTTGGACATCGGACTAACAATAAGAAGTTCTTTAAAAATGCTGGAAATATTTATTTTTGTTACGAATTTAATAACAAATGGTGTGATTATTATAATGAAAAAATTAATTGTATTAACACCACAGTCTAAGCTATGGTTCATTAATAATGTGAGTTTGTAATATTTCCATGACGGTGGCAACGCTTATTCCAAAACAAAAAACAAGTATTTAACAAGAAAATTACACAAATCTGGCGAAACGCAAGCATGCAGGGAAGTGGAATTAATGAGCTTGTTGCCTGCTTGTTTTGTTTCCGAATTACCAGCCGAGCCCTGAAATAATTGCAATCGTTCTAATGGAATATTAAATTAGTCAAGTCCTCCAATAAGCGGCTTCAGAAGCAAAACACGCTCTCTCGCGAAATTCTAGATTCATCCGTCTGGAAATTCACGCAGGACGCGTAGGGAATTTGTTTGCGGGGAAAAGAAAGACAATTTTAACGTGGCTTTCGTTTTATACGAAAAGCATTTTTCATCAAACGAGGCGACTGCGAATTACCATAAGGGAGTCTCGCACTAAAAGGGTCTCTTTTTACATTGCAAATTGTGTTTATCCCGACGGGTTAAAAAGGGTCCGCACAGGAAGGAAAATAGTGGTGGACATACTTTGCGACATATTATGGTTTTTCGTCAGCATTGCAAATTATACGTCCTTTGACACTGGTCGGTACTTTTTGCGTGGGCAGATCAATATTTTTTTTCCTTCGAGTCGCTTTCGTTCCTCCCTGGCCGTGTAATTAGTCTGCGGTTCGGGCAAAAGCCAAATTTATTCATTGCGAAAAAGGCTTTCCACGTGCAAAGGGAATATTTTAAGGAGCAGCGCGATAATTGGATAATAATTTGCGCGCCCTGCTTTTTTGCGAAAGGTTGACATCGATTTCTGCTGCGGAAATGGCACTGAAGGAAAAGGTCAGGCGTGTAATTTGCCCTGCGGTGAAATGTTAGCTGGTCAAAGGCGAGTCGGCACAGAAGGTCAATCGTGCCTGCGTCACGTTCCGAGTGTTGAATTGAAAGTGAAAAGTTGAAAATTAAACCAATTAAAAATAAATGCGGAAAAAGATTCATTACAAAGAAATGTAATTGGTTTCAAACTGAAAGACATTTAATCAAAAAATCGTTTGGTGTAAACTTCCCTGTTAATTAATTAATTGTGAGGAGAGGGAGCTCGTTATTGTGAAGAATTAATTTTTAAATAATGAGAGAAGTTGATTTAATAAAGTTTTGAGCGCTTTGATAATCGCACAAGCAGAGAAGATATTTGTTAACTCATAAAAAATTAATTAGAAATTTACTTGGAAATTCATTAATTATCGTTGATTTCATATCTTTAAATATAATTATTTACTAAAATTTCAATCGGGACGAAAATTTCAAATTATTAAAATCAATTACAACAAGTTTGGAAACACAGGTGATGTTGAGATATTTTTCTGCAAAAATCGTAAAACTTTTCCTGAAAAACGAAAAACCTTTCAGTAAACAAAAATAATTTAAAGCGTAACAAAACAAAAAATACTTTTCGTTAATATTTCTGATAAAAATCCTTTATGGTGAAATACAAATTGAAATTATGCTGCGAGTCTTATTGAAAGAAAGTTAATGAAAGTCAATTCAACAGTACAATGAAGCGCTTATTGTTAGTGTTTGTTTTCAATTTTGGTCTGGCGCCAATAATTAGTGCCATTTTTGGGACGCGGACGAGTTTATTATGAACATTTTGTCCTGTGCTTGTTTTTATCGGTGTTTCACATGGAGCTGAGCACAGGAAACGCAGTCGCCGGCGCTGAAAATACACGCTCGCCGAATAATGGAGTGTGCCAATCAGATAATATTGAACACGACGGCACTCGCACCCTATCTGGCAAAACAGTGTGTGTGTGTGTTCGTTGCTCGCTCGCTCCACTGTACTCTACATTATACAGATAGGAACACAGAACCGTTTTGGGAATTGAGGCGGCTCTCGGTTTGATTGTTTTGCCTCCGACTAATAACGCCGATAAAATGTTAGTCGAGTGCCAAAATCCAAAGAGTAAAGAGGATAAAATATTATATTATGTAGTGGGCGGTTGTATTGAATGCGTAATTAACGTAAGCTGGTGATCAGATTGTCGTAAGTTTTTGGGGTAGATTAAGTGGTCAATTAGCAAATTATCTAAAATTGCTGCTGATATTTAAAGCAACAGGTGTGAATTGACAATTTTTACTATTTAATAACTTTTTAGTAATAAAATTATTTTAATTTAAAAATCTATAAAAGAAAAAATCAGGGAACTAATAATTAGTTTTTGACAGATTAATTTATTGTAAGAAATTTTTAATTTATTTATTTCTATTTTTATAATTTTGCAGCCCTTTTGGAGCATTTCTTTTCCAGTTGTTTTCTGACTCGTGTGCAAACTCATTTCCCAACGTTGTACATTATTTCCACTTTTTTCCGCGAGGCTTGGTTTGTTTCTTCTCACCCGAGGCGAGAACTCGTAAATTAACCCGCTCATCTCCGCCCTGCCGCTGACAACAAGGGTCTGTAGGTTTTCAGGCGCAAAAAGGCGGCCGGCGTTTCGCAGCAATATATTTTTATATATTTATCTGAACAGAGAACGAAAATCCGACTTGGTGAAATTCAGACGATTTACCACCGTGCGAACTATTTTCATTAGAGCGCACACCTTCTTTTGTGACGGCAGATAATTAAACCGGGCCGACAATGTCCACGATTAGCAATCCTTTTGTGATTTTCAGCCGAAATTAATGCAAGGGTGCCGCTCTCGTTTTTAATCAAAATCTTTTGTGCTGCACGAACTTTTTCCCATTTTACTCTCTCTCATTGTTAACACACGCCTAGTTGAAGGGGCTCTTTTGTAGCCGCCCTGGGAAAAGCGAGGTCTGCACTGCGGCGCGACGTTTAATAAAAAATTAAAAAAGAAAAACGCACTCCACGCGGAAATATGTATTTGCTGAGGACCAGCGTTCCGGATGAGTGGTGTTAATAATTAATCCGAATCACTCGTTCGGTTCCACAACGGAACGACCCAAGTTTAATGCTCCTAGGCGGGATGGACATTAATGTCGTCGGCCTGAATAAAACATGAAAAGTCCCTTTCTGAAAAGTGCTCGCGTGGATTGCGCAATTTCATTTATTTTTACTCTTTCTCTCTCTGTGCAGGAATCGCCGGACCGCGCGGCAGACCAGGCAAAGGTGGTCAAGATGGAACTCCGGGATTACCAGGAATTAGTGCTTGGATGGTGAACGGGGCCAAAGCTAATGAGCTGCTCATTCCACCCTCCATCGCAGGTAAGCGCCTCTGTATCTCTCTCTCTTTTCATTTCCATTAGTTCATTTGGTGGAATTACGGGCGATTGAATGGGGATCTAATTGAAAAAGAGCCAAACTCTCTTTCCATTTATGCGGTACATTCAGCTGACGAAGCTCTTTATTCATCGTTCGATTGGCAGAAAACTATAAAAAAGTATAAATAAACAATACTTCAAAATAAACATGGGTTTTAGAGACAAAAGAAGGACTTGTGAAGTAAAAGAGGCAATCGGAAAATAATATAGACAGACATGTCTGGCTATTTCCCTAAAAAATCAGTTTTTCAACAAGCTTTGTAGTTGCAAAAAACTTCAATTACTCTCAAAATAATCTATCATTTGGTTAAAATGATTAATTTTTAAGATCAGATTCCGATATTAACGAATTAAAATCAATTTCCATAATGGTTAATTTACATTTTTCATTTTGTTTTCTACTACTCAAAATAACCGTTAAATAGTTTTTTTTTTCAATAGGATTAAAGAAAAAATTGATTATTATTTATTTGATCAACTCCTCCTTATTATACTGACCAAAATGTAAATAATAAATTAGAAAAAAAATATTCTTTACCACCCTTCATAATTCCAATTTATTATAAACTGTTATTACAATTTGAATCACAGAAAAAAACTAGTTAATTAAATTGATGAATTTAAACTTAATATATTCGCTTTGCATATTAGAATTAAATTAATAATATAAGTCAATGAACAAAAAACCAATTTACGTTAACCCTGTTTTGCACGCGCCACTTTTTAATTACGTCATGAAGCTTCCCGGTCAATACACTCGCATGTTGCAAAATTTATAATTGCATATTGAAAAAGTAAACAGCGTCGTTTGCAACACAGGGCATAATGGAGTAGCCGGCGCCATGCTTGGTAGTTTTAATTAGCGTGCGTTGCTCTGATTGAATATATAAAAGGATTTTTTGCTGAATCCGTGCCCCTCTATTCGTGCACTGAAAAGTCGTCTGATATTATTTTTCGACGGCGGCAAGGCATTATTTTGCAAGTGTGTTCATTCCGTGGCTCTTCAGGCGGCGCAGTCTCTCTCTCTCTCATCAGCAGAAGGCATTGTGAGCGCACTAGTGCACCAAACCACTCGCTCTGACAATGGGACCCTCTCCAATTATGCGTAACGACGCTCAAATGTCGCACAACACGGCGGGTAATGAGGCCCCGTTCGCCGCCGACTGCAGCCTCTTCTGAAAGCTCAAAACATGTACATTTGCCAGTCGAGCTAAGCCGTCGTCACTCGCGCCGCAGTGCATTAACCGGAAAATTTGCATGCACCCGTCGACTCGAATTGAACGTGGCAACGCGTGCATTAGCGACTGAAAGCTGCACCTGGTGTTCACCCCGATGAGGCCAAATTACGCAAACCGGTACAATGTAGGCTTCCACTTAAGCATTAAGTATGTTGCACGGGAAATCGCGTTTCAAAAAAAATCATCCTACTTTAAAAGTACTGGAAAACCATAAAATGCGCAATATTTTTCTGAATTTAATTTTAAAATATTGAGACACATTTTAATTTTAAATCGGATTGAAAAGTAACAAAAGATAATATTATGTTTTTCAAGACCAATTTTCATTGTGTTTGAAAAGTCTGACATGTTTATTTTGAAATTGCTTGAACGGAAATTTGCATTAGTCTTAAGAATTACAATTTTATTATGGTTCTTGGATTTCAATTGAACATTTATTTTCTACTTAATAGCATCCTAAATGTGCCACTTATTTCATATTTATTGCTTTTAATTCTTAGTCATATAAATTTATGGAAGGTAAAAAAAAATTAAAATTTCCTGCATGAAAAGTATTTTAAAGTAATTAATTCTAAATTCATTAACATTTTTTAAATTTTTATTCAAGTAAGGAACAAAATCTGCTTGCAGCAGTTGCTCTCTGTCAGTTAAAATTTAGTAATGCAAAGCCTTGTTATTGAATTATTTGGATTGCCATAATTTTTTAACGTTCTGTATCGACTGATACTTATTTGTTCAACTTTACAGTTTGTATAATTAAAAGGTGCGATTCATCCCCGCTCTAAAAACAGCATTTTTACTTGCCAGGGTGTGATTTGAACAGGAAGTTCTACTGAACTCTGCACTCCGTTTAAGCTAATTAAAAAATTGAAGCAGGAGACCTAGCTGCCTATGTTAACACCTGGGTCTGAATTTTCTTAGACCTGAGCTTTTAAAATTAACGACTAATTGAAAATTCAACCCAGAAAGCCAAACTTCCTATTATATTTCCTAGACCATTTCAATTATTCATGATAATTGAGCTCATAAAGATATAAAAATTTCACCATGTTGAATTTTTAAAGAAATATCTTCAGGTTTTTGCACTTAATTGATAAAACGCACGATTAATACCGTCATTAAGGATTAAAAACTTTATTGCTCAGCGAGACGATCGAACTTTTATGAGTGTCGCTGTTAGCTGAATGCAAGTTTTTGTAACTTTCTGACATATTCTTAATTAAAAAAGAAAATAATTAAAACAACTACTTTGAATTTTCAGTAGTTGAATTGCAAATCTCTGTTGTTGTCTGATGTGCTTTTTTGTAATTAAATCCCTGAAAGTGCGAGGAAGTTCTTTTTTTAATCATTTTATTTTTAAACTACATTTAATTTTTTATTATAATCATTATTTTTCCTCGTTTCATTTCGTTTAATTAAAATTTAAACTTTTTGTGTTTCAACCCATTTTGCACCTCTCACATTGACTCGGCACGTTGAATACTTAACGGCGTCCTCTCCGACCTGGGATTTTGCTCCCTTGGGCGAATTATCTGACTCACAGTGCATCGTTGCAGAAACTCTCGAAACATAAAATCCGAGACGTCGCTATCGCTGCTGCTGTTTTCCTGATGGTCTTTCGCCCTGCAAATATTCACTGGCTCGCATTTTATCCTGACGGTGCTCAGCTCGAAACAAAATGCTAAACACAATTTGCCGAGCGCGTGTACAAGGGAGCAGGTTAATATGCAGTTTGCTTCGTGTTACGGCACTGAGTGAGCACAGAAGTGATTTTACGCTGCATGTGATTTGGCTTTAAAATTCAAATTTGATGGTTGAATGCAAACTACGGTTAAAAAGTGTGCATTAAATGCGAAATAGCCAAATAACAAATAACAAGTTTCATCAGCTGAAAACTCTTTCCACGAGCTTTAAGCACGCGTTTCTTTTCACAAATCTGATTAAATTTTATCTAAAAAAACTTCAATATTACTTATTACATTGTAAAATATCGGAGGAAAGCCTTTTTTAGTTCTTAAGCGTTTGCTTGTTTATTAAAGTAAAAAAAATTAAACGCAGTACAAACTTTTTACTTGGTCTATTTTTCATTCAAATTTATTATTTTTTATTTAATAAATTATTATTATAATTTTTATTGTTTAATTAATATTATTAAATTATAATTTTTTATGTTTCTTTTTTTAACGGCATTATTATATTTTTATATTTATTATTTTGCTGAAAAATTATAATTTGTCTTGTCAGTATCTTCTGCTATTAAATTTGTTCTATAGCGAAACTTTCGTGCTTCAAATGCAACAATTACCTCAATTCATTCAATTTATGACTTATAAATTATCAATTTTATGCAAACTTGCTCAAAATTGATGGTGGATTAAATTAACTTTTATAATTTTACTATTAACAAACGGTAATAAAAATTCTTCAACCCAACTTTTTTTTAAGTTTGAAGCTCTTTAATGTAGAGATTATTATTAGCTGAATTTATATTTTTGTAAAAATGTTTATACTATAATATTTTCTAAAAAACTTTAATAAACTTTGTATCCTCTATAATTTCAGGTGCTGGGGCGAATTTGGTCAGCGGGAAGGCAATTGTGGTTCACGAAGGTGTCAACGTCCGCCTCCGGTGCGCCGCCTCCGGTCAGCCGAAACCAGACGTCGAGTGGTACCGCCTCACAAACTCGACGATTCCACTCGGGTCTTGGCAAGGTACCGAATTTCCTGCAACCTCCGACCCTTCATTATTCGACGAATTGTTTGTTCCGAGACCGAGCAGCGCTCTTCATTAATGAAATAATCACCCCTCGCTCGTCTCTGCTCTGTTAATTAATTATATTGGCTGTGTTATTTTGCAGCTGTGTCGGCCACTGGGCACACGTTCAACATCCCCAAGATAAACCGCGAGCACATGGGCGTCTACCGCTGCATAGCAAACAATGGGGTGCCGCCACAAGCCAACCAGACGTTTGCTGTTGAGGTCCACTGTGAGTTAACAAAACACTGAGCTATTATTATACACTTTGGCGTGGAAACCGCCGGAATTCGGCCCACGCCAGTTTATTTTCCTTCACTTGTTTGCTCTCTCGCAAAACCTCTTTATGGGTTATTTGGTTTGGGCTTGAATTTATTACGTCCAATCAAGTCAGAGGCTAAAAAGTCTCTTTGTTAATAATAAACAAGAGTTTAAATTCTGTACAAAAACCTGAACTTAAAAACTTGAATTAGCCGAAAAATTATTGGATTATATTTTGAGCCTACGATTTTTGTTCACAAGTATTGAAAACGTTAAAAAAATGTCTGTCATGATCCAATTTTTTCTTTCTTTCATGCCTTTTTGTTGTTTAAAACGGGAACATTGCAAATTTACTATGATTAAAGTTAATTTTTTTAACATCTAATTATTATAATTGAACATTAATTTATCTCTTCTAATTTATTTTGCCTTAATGAATTTCAGTATATTTTTTTTCATATGGAATGATAATTATTCTCTTTTCAATATTTTTTTTGCTATTAACAAAAGTTATGCATCATGTTCAGCAAACACGCCGAGCTTGTTGCCTACCTTTGAAAACTCGCTCTTGTCAGTGAAAAATGCTTTGTGTCGCATTATTTTGCAGTCCCGCCGTTGATTCGCATCCACCGTCAAACGGTTTCCGCGTACGGAAATTCGACGGCGCGTCTGGAATGCGAGGTGGAGGCGTTCCCGGAGGCGCTCAGGTACTGGGAGCGGGCCGACGGGCGTCTGCTGGAGAACGGCGACAAGTACCGCATCACGGTCGTCGAGAGTGGCAAATACAAGGTACGCGATATTATAATCCGCGCGTGCGAAATAATTAACGTCCGTTTCCAGGCCCGCATGCAGCTCAACATCACCAGAATCAATTCGCACGACTACGGTCGCTACCACTGCATCAGCAAGAACGAGCTCGGCCAAACCACAGGCGTGTTCACCGTGTTCGGTGAGTGCACTTTATTAACTCTCGAGCTGCGGATTGTTTGCCATGGAAAAGTTGTAATTGATTGTCAAACATGCAGTTGCAGGAAATCTAAAAGTTCTGATTGAATTACAAAACGAGTTAAAAACTTTTGCTCTAAATTATTCTGCAGTCTGCGGTTTTCCTTGATTTAGTTCTCAAGTTCCATCAGAGTAGATTATACGGTTATAAATTTGAACAGTAAGATTTTGCAGTTTAAAACTTGAAAATGTAAAAATTATCATCCGGGCTCGGTCAAATAATGATAAAAAAATTATGCAATTGAATGAAAAAAAGTTGGATTTAAATTTAACTGTAGTTTTGTAATAATTTTAATAGAACAAAATCATTCTCATTTAAAAAATTAAATTTTTTCTTAAGTTACAAATTTATCCAGAGCAAAGAGTTGGAATTATATGAAACATAGTTCTGAAAATTCCAAATCCTTGAAGGAACGCTAGTCAAAAATTCTGATAAATTGCAAAACTCTTAAATTAGCTCAAATATGTAGCCAGAAATTTAACAAAGGCCAAATTTATGGAAGTAAACTGCCTTTATAATATTTAACTCAGTCAGAAGGACTGAAAGGAATAAAATTGGGACAATTTATGTCGTTAATCGTCAGAATTTGCTACAAAATTCTTTTTATTTTGGAGAAATAAAAAAAGCACTTTCAAAGTTGAGACATTTTTAAAGCTAAAAGTCTTACACGACATGTTGAACTCCCAAGGTGTAAATATATTTCCAACCCTAGCTGCGCGTTCAAAATGCAAATGAGCGCTCGACGTCTGCGCTTATTTTTCGCAGGAAAAGGTAACAACTTTTCTCTCCGCTTGGTCTGCACTTGTCAGCCAGCGCGAAGTTTTTGCTGCAAATTTCCTCTGATGAAAAGTTGTTGCATTTTCCTGCCCCGGCCGTTTCTCTCTTATTACGTTTCACACACACTTTTTACCCTCATGAGCGAACCCTTAACTTGCTCGTCGTCGTTTTGCTGCGAGAATGATGGATTCCATTTGGCTTCCCACGCAAACTTCTTGTTTCTCGCTGCCCCGTGATAAAATACAGGCAAAGATCAAGTTGCTCGTTCAGTTCGTTGCTCTCAATAAAGAAAACAAGAAGCCGACTTTTCAGACCTTTGATTAACCTGCAAGTTTTGCTCTTTCTCGGTGCAGAGGTCGACCCGAGACTCGCGACGCCTCCGCCCATCGGCAACCAAGGCATGACGGTCATCGGACAACTTCCGCCTGAACACAAGTCCATGGACGATTTGTGTCCGGCGCCGGTGTGTCCCGAGTGCGCCCCCGAGACACCAACAAAGGGCAAATGCACGGACGGTGGATTGTCCCTGTTTGACCTCATCGGCCGAATGGAGATCAGACAGTTTGGAAACGAGACCTACCCTGGATTACCGAACAGAACTTTTGGTAAGAAATTTTTTTCTATGCAGAATAAACTGAAAATTTCAATTTAATTTTGTTGTTTTTAAATTAAACTAATATGATAATATGGAATAATTGCAAACAATTGATTAATTTTATATTTATCTGATAAAAATTAAATTAAATTATTGATTAAGATTTTAAAACTTAAGTTTTAATTTGTCTAGATACTGAAATATTTGAGATTTTTAACTTGGTTGATAAATATTAATATCATACTCTTGCGTTATAAGGATTTAATTTTCTGCATATTTCAGTTTATGAACTTTTCATTGTTTAAGTTCAAAACATAAACAATAATTCATAATTGCACAAAACAATAAACTCGCACATTCTTTAAGTATTAAAAAATATTCTCTCTTTTTTAGAACATTACATTTAATTATCCTCTTTTTTTCATTGTTTATATTGAAGCGCCGGTTTTTGCGGAGATAATTTTTTGAAACATTTTTTGGTGTATAAATTATAAACGTACATTTTTAATTATTTTTTTTTACAGATTGCATATTGTACGCTGTTGGCAAACCAGTCTTCCATCGATTCACTGATAAATCATACGGCGCGTGGATGCGCGATTCGCATCCGAAAAATGATATAATGGCCGATAAATACTGGGTGACCAAAGAGGAGGACACCAACCACCTGTACGAGTTTGCAAACAAGGCTCAGTACCGGAAAAACGTCCCATCTAGAAACTACACCATTAGTCCACCATTCATGGTAAAACACAAGTTAATTAAAAAATATTAAAAATAACATTAATTTTTTGCGCATGAAAATATTTTTAAAATCCACAAATTTGTTTTCTTTTTCTGCTGCGTTAACAAAGAGGAGAATTTAAAAAAAAAAATATTTTTACTTTATTCTTATTAATTATTTTGTTAAGTTTTTTTAGTTTTATTTATAACTTGTTCTTTTAAAAATCATGTTAAACTAACTCAGCTTTAGGTCTCAAGTTGTCTGAAGTTTTAACCGCTCCTCTCTCTTGCTTCAATTAGGGCAACTCACATGTCGTTTACAACGGCTCGTTCTACTACAACCAAAAGAACAAACCGTACATCGTCCGCTACGACATAGCGACCGAGAGCGCGCGCTCCGTCGAGCTGCCTGAGGCTTCTTCCACCGACAACAATAAGCTCTTTGACAAGGGCTACAACTACGTGGACATTTCGGTGGACGAGAACGGCCTCTGGGTGGTTTACGGCCTGCCCGAGAATAACAACACGGTGGTCGTGAAGATGGACGCGTTCACTCTGAAGAGGGAATACTCTTGGAACATCAGCGTCGACCACCACAAGGTTGGAGAGATGTTCATTGTGTGCGGCGTCCTTTACGCAGTGGACAGCGTCACGGAGAGGGACACCAAAATTAGGTTTTTCCTTGAATTTATTGCCATTCAATTAATATATAAGAGAATAATAATTTTTATTATAATTGATCATAAATTATTTGAAATACATTAATTCTTTTGCTTCATAAAAAAATATTCAAAATAATCTTTTTTTCCTGCAATATCTTTTTTTCTGGAGTTTTTTTATGTGACAATTTTATTGTGAATGAAATGTTATTTCAGATTCGCTCTTGATCTGTACAAGAATATGCTGCTCGACGTGTCGCTACCTTTCACAAATCCATTCAGAAAGACGACCATGATCAGCTACAACGCCAAGAGCAAGGTAAGGAGAGACTTTTGATCAAGCTCTCAGAACAAATATCTCCCTTCCTCATGGCCGAGAGCAAACGTTACGACGAAATTGAATAAATACCAACCACCGCCAGAACATGACTCCTTTGAGACCTAAACGTTCAGCGGAATTTAAAGGAGGCCGATGGAGTTGCGGTCTTTATTGCGGGCCACTCATTTCCCATAGGACTAGGGCTTTAAAGAAGAATTCATAAAAAATGATACCAACTGAAATTTCAGATTCAATTAAGATTTGAAAATTTAATAATTTATCAAATTCTAATAAGCATTTAATAATTCAGTTTATATTCTTGAAAATTATAAAAAAAAAATGATATTTATTTATTATTAAAAAAGAGCAGCAAACTTTTTTAATTTCAAAAGCATAATAGGCACACACTACATTATTTCTAAGTTTTATTAAAAATCTTCGTTGTTATTTTTTTACTAAAAAAAATATAAATCGAAAATCATTTTGTTTTCTCTTTAGAACATTAAAAAAGCTCTGTTGTCGTTTTTTACTAAAAAAAAAGCAAAAATAAATTAAATATTTATTTGGTTTTCCCTTCAAAATATTATAAGAAAAGCTGTTGTTTTTATTTTTTACTAAAAAAGCAAAATATAAATTAAAGATCATTTTGTTTTATCTTAATAATTTTAGGAGCTGTTTACGTGGGACAAAGGCAACCAACTGACGTATCCAGTGCGCTACCACGAATCAGGCTACAACTCGACCAAAGAAGACAAAAACGACCCAAGCTACGCAGCAACGCACATTCAAACTGGCTACGACATCGAGGCAACCTCTGAGGCACCATACGCGGACAACCCTTACGACATTTAAATCAGCTTGAGTCCCATCTCTAATTGATGGCGCGAGATCGAGGAGGAAATCGACTGCAATATGTATGAGAAGTTTTCAAAGTGCCTACAAAGAAGTTTGTAACGATTTAGGGAGACATGAATGCGAATGTGTAGAAGCACAAAAGGGCATCAGTTCACGTTGGATGGAATAATTTGTAAGTGTTCGGCCTGAGTTGCAAACGTCCTAGATTGTAAAATACGCGATAAGTAACTACTATTGTGTGATATGTGTTGCTAAAAGTCAAAATAAATGTTGTAATATTAAAGTGAGTAATTAGTTTTTGTTTATGCATTTTAAAACAGCACATTTCTTTTATTTTTTTGCGTTTAAATTTACAAATAACCTAGGAAAGACTTGTTCTATGATGGTTTACAGCGGAGTGGTGATTTTCATCAACTGGTAAGGATTGTTGTTGCTCAAAAAGGAGAGTTCTTTCCTACCTGCCTCGGAAGCGGCGTGAGGATTGATGATCCACCTGCGGTCCAAGTAGTATTCAATGCAACTGTCAAACTCCTTATTGGAGTAAATCTTAGTTTCAACAGGAATAAACGGGTCCAAGTGTTCAAATCCCTTTAAAATTAAGTAAAAAATGTATTAATTTTTATTAAAGAGTTGCGAGTAAAATGTATTTACCTCAACACCCAAAAGACCCTTTGGGTAGATCGTATTTCGATGGTCTTCTCTACGGAAGGCATTATCATCCACGGACACAATGACAGCACCATTACTCTAAAAAGTTGCAAAATTTAGCAAAGCCGTCTTGCACAATTTGTATCTCATTCTTACCCAATCTTGCTTGGTAATATTGATGAAAGGACTAGTGATGGTTACTTTCGTCGCTGGCAAATATTGGAAATTAGCCAGCCGCACTTTCGTTTTGGTGTCATAAAAACCGTTGAATCCATCAATAACTACGAGCGTTTTGCACCTGGACAGAGGAATTGTTAGATTGATAAAAATAAAACTTAAATGATATCAACCTCTTCATGTCTGAAAGTTGTTTAACCTCTTGTAGAAGAGCCTCGATGCAGTTCGTCGAGTACTTTACTCTGTTGATTCCCATTTCGATAATTTCACTCAACGGCGCGCCCTTTTTTACGACTTCTCTCTTGCTAAACTCCCAGTCTTGGGAGGTAATTATCTAAAATTTCATTAATAAATAATTTTTGTGTACAGACAAGGAAAAAGCTACGTTTTGATCTGCAAGAAGGTGGGCATTTTGGTTCTTGAAGTGCATCAGCCAGGCAGCAGCGTCGATGGGCAAATCAGCAAAGCCCTCTTTTGTTGGGCAGTCTGTGTACTCTTTTGGGTGTTTAAACCAGTAAGGAGCTAAAAAAATTATTTTAAGAAAACATTTTAATATAATAAAAAATGTTTTTTCTTTTACTCCATGGTACGTGGACAAGGAGGAAGTTATTTTCAAATCCATAATGAAGTAAATGCGCCAAAGTGAGAGATTTTCCTGTGCCCAATCTTCCATCTGAAAAAGTTTTGTCCGTCTTTTGGGATTTGTAATTTATATTTATTTATCTTACAGAGACAATATCGGATTGCAGCATTGTCGAAATTCGATGATTTCAGATAGTGCATGATTTCCAAGGCTGGTTCCCTCACCATGATGCAGGTTTCTTTGAAAGTCTTGCAAAGACCGTCGTACTCCTTTGGAATTCCTCCGTACAAATACAACTGCTTTTTTACTGCGGGGTCAACTGTGTAGTACTGACCACCATTGCTTGAGCTTTGCTCTGTCTGCAAATTGAACAAATTCATTCTTAAAAATCAGTCGTTAAATTAAAATTTTTGGGCGTACTGGACTGCTTCTTGTTCTGAAGAACGGAAGGGGTTTGCTTGATTCTTCAGACGAAGGGATGCTCATCTGTGGAGCCGTTGAAGACGCTCGGGACGCAAAACTCGCACATCTTTTGACGGCCTCTTTTCTGTGGCCCACTAAAATAAAAAATTGATGATAAATGTAAACAAATTGGACAGCAAGAAGTTGCGTATTGAAAAGTTGGTCACGTTTAGGCCTGAAGAATATAAATAAAAAGTGGGGAATTCATCTAGAAATAGTAATTAATAAGAACAATTTAACACTTACGTGCTCTTAAAACTGTTTTTCCAATCATAATTACCAAAATTTGGAAAATGCTAAAAGTCCTAAAAATTCACTTTGTTTTTGTGATCCATGTGTTTACTTGAGCCGGTATATCAATTATTTACAAATTTAACGAACCGGTTACATAATTTTGTTTAAAATTTGCGAAAATTTGAAAGACAAACTAAAGAATATGAATATAAACTTATGATCAAATAAAATTATTAAAGATTATTCCACCATTATTGCTCGAAAAATACGAGTTTTAATTAGAAACTATGTAGTTTGAAAACTTTGAAACTCAGTAAAATAGAACCGGTTAATGAGAGAAAAATTTGCTAAACCGAATTGCAGAGTTCCCTGTTGGCGAGTTTTGAAACTAATTGGCGGGAAAACGAATCTCTCTCGTTGAAGCGCCGCCATACCTAGGAATTCAGAACCGCGAACGCAACCCTTTGGAGGAGGCGCCGAGAGTTCGCGGTCCGTCGTCGGTCTACCTGGAATGCATGCACACTCCAGTCAGGTGCGGGACATGCACTCCATCGGGTGAATCGTCACGCGACCTCCTTTATTCTTTTGTTTGTGACATTTTCGTTTGGCGAGTGCACCCCTTTTTCCATACTATGCGCTACAAAGAATTCGCGTTCGACCGGTGCGGTTCAGGTGCGAATTAGAATTGGCGAACAATAATGCGATCGACAACCTTTGCGAAGGATAGCAGTAGCAAAAAACTCCTGACCCCGGCCGCGAGCGGGGAGCAATTTGACCTGGAAGATTACATTTACGAGATGCAGCGTCGGAACGAGGAAATCAGCGCGGCCGCCGCCGAGGGTGCCAATGACGACGTCTACTCGCAGCTGGCCCAAAAGGAAAAGGACCTCATCTTGGCCGCCGAACTGGGAAAGGCCCTGCTCGAGCGAAACCAGGAGCTCACCAGGCAACACGAGAAGATGACCGAGGACTTCTCACGACAGCTTGAAGTAAGTCAAATTAATTTTATATAAATTTCTATAAAAAATCAATTTTTATTTCATAACAGTTACTTTTGATTATTAGATTAATTAAATATATCTTCAAAAAAATCGGTTTTGAAAATAAATTTATCAATATGATAGAGCAATGGCTAATTTTACGGCAAATTTATTTGTTTAAATTAAAATAAATCAATAGTAAAAATACATTTCATTAAATAATATTATATAATCGTATTCTATATGGATACATAATTTGATTATAGTAGGACAATTTGGCTAGTATTTAACCATAATGAATTGAAATTAAATAAAAATTCTTTAATTTAACAAATAATAGAGCTATTTTATAGAAATATGATAATTTATTTTGAATTAAGGAAATTTGTAACTTTAATTTAATTAATGTTAATAAAGATTACATCAAATCAACATCAAATATTTTTAATTACCAAAATTGTATAACAAAAGTGTCAGCAATTATTTTCAAACGTGCTTGAAGGTAATTTTAAAATATCAAGAAATTTAATTTAAAAAACAATTATCTTCTTCTTTTAAAGTTTGGGAAATTTATCGTAAATTTCATCAGATTTATTTTTCTTCTTTTTATTTTTACCTTGCTTTGGCTCCGAATATGAAAAGGAGGTTTTTTTGCCAAACACTTTTGCTGTTTTTATAGATTGCGTTTGTTCTCATTTTCGTCGTACGCAAATAAAAAGCTCTCTCGTCTCTCACGTTCCGCCGAACCCAAGACTCGCCGCCTCCAATCTATAACCTGGATACACAATGCTCTCTAGATACGGCAGTTTCGCAGAGGCGGAGAGCGAAACCGGTTTCGCCATTTCGTCACTCGCGCAAAATTTTGCCAACGACTCCAGTCCGCAGATTTTTAAACTCGGACGAGCATAAAAAGGAAAATTTAAAATAAAAAACATGGCGTGAAACAGCAGCAAAAGGATCGGCGTAGAAAATTTATTAAAAAGGAGGTCAGGCCAGGAATTTTTGATTTTGCACAGCCTTTTGCTGCGCGGAAATTTTGCAACTTGTGTTATTTTCCGGATGCTGCTGCATTCCTGTGGAAAAATAATGATGGCCGCTCAATATTTTCCGAGAGTTATTCGCATTTCCTGCAGGGGAATTTCCATCGAAATCGAAGTTCGCACGATATTTTATATTTCCCGCAATATTATTTTGCAACTTTGATAAATGTGAACAAAGTAATTAAAATTTGTGTTTAAATGTGCGTGTCTTTTTTGTTTTTGTAGAATTTTTGTGTAGAATCTCTTGTTTGTGTTGTTTAAGTGTAACTTCAGTTTCAGGGTTAAGATTTTCAGATGATTATTGAAACCGTGCGAGAGATCAACGAAAACAATTTTTTGTGATCAGACATTATTATTTAAATGCTAAAATTAAATTTTTCCAATTTTATTTACTAAATTTTTTTTTATATTTGGAAAATTTAAAAATATATTATTACTATAATTATTATTAATATATTTTAAATTTTTTATGGTCATTAAATATAAAATTATCATTATTGCATTATTTATTTACTTTTAATTGAAATGGACTAATTTAAAAAAATTAAACCGATCGGTTTTGATCAAAAATTCTATCAAAATAATTTAACAAAATCTTATTTCCCAGTTAATGTAATTAATCTTTTTAAATAAAAATAAATCACTAGAAAATATACACATGAATAATTATTAATAATCATTAATATATATATATATATATATATATATATATATATATATATATATATATATATATATATATATATATATATATATATATATATATATATATATATATATATATATATATCACAATATATATTAATCACAATTTGTCTTTTAATTTGGTTTTTTTTCGTACAGAAATTGAAACAAATAAAGTTACATGGAATTGTGTGTTGAAAAAGCCTGCTGGTGCTTGTTAGTCAGTCAGTCGCACACATTAAAATTGGTACATCTGTCCATATGTTCTGTGTGTCTGGGAGCGCACCCCATTTATTTTTAGTGCTCCGTGGCCCATAAATGCATCTTAAGGGCTCGGAATAATGCGGCGCGAGAGACGCCCCATTAATATTTCCACAACAATTTGTCGCCGCTGATGCTGACACGCGTGAACCGTGGCGAGGAATTGATGGACCTCAGGCATCCGTTCCGTCTCTGTTTGTTTTCGTGCCTCTAACTCCGACTAAAAATGGAAATCAAACTCACGATGATCAGAAAAAGACGCACGAAAAAACCAAAATATTTTTATATATAATGATTTCTTTTTTACTTTGAAATTATGTTGCTTAATTTCAACAGATTTTGAAACAAAACTTGAAAACCAATTAAATGGAAAATTTTCCCCAGTTTTCATCAGAAAATTCTACTCTCTCTAAAACTAAATAAATCTTTAATTCCAGAAATTAATTTTTCAATTTTTTTTTACATTTAAATATAAAACTAATTGTTATAAAAAAAAATTCATTCAAATAGAGACAGAATTTGTGAACCTTTCTGGCCATTTCCATTCAAATTTGTGAGTGAAAGAAGCAGCTGAACCATTAAAAAGCGCACGACGGAACACGGAAATAAACTTTTGCAGCAGTCGGTGACATTATTTTGATAGATCAGCACCGCTGTGCGCACTTTTATATTCGGCCGAGCAAGGTTATTCAATCCGGTGGCCAAGCAGAAACGACATTAAACTTTCTTCAACTGCAAACACGTCGAGCGACGTCACCGGTCGTATCGATTTTAAAATGCAAAGTTTATAAAAGCATCACTCCAATTAATGCCCTCGGTGAAAAAAATATATAAAACATTCAAAGAAGGTCAGGAGCCTCTTTTGTTTTGCATTGAACGAAAGTGATTGAAATAATTATTATTTCTGTGTCACATCGGCGGCTTTGTCTTTAACATTAGCATACTGGGCCTCTGATAGAGCACCGAAGATGGTCTTGAAAAGTGCCGATTGCTTTGTGAACCAAGGCTGAAGCTCCGTAATCGAAATCAAAAATGCAGTTGCATGGGATGCTTATCTCTCTTGACTTTGTAACTAGTTTTGGAGCACTCTTAGAATAATGACTGCCGAATCAAAAGTATAATTGACTATTTCTGTTGACCTGAACTTATATAATTCGTGTCAAATGGTATTCAAGTGGCTGGCCGACAAGAGGACAAATAAAACACAAATTAATTGTTCTGAAATTTTTCTCAATTTCCAAGATCACGTGACCAGGTTAAAATAATAAATTAAAATTAATTTTAGTTGATGCAGTTTATGAAATTATTCATTTTTTTTTTAAATTCCTACTTTTATGATGAAATTTTTGTTCAAAAATTATAATTTCATTTTAGAATGGAAATAATTTTATTTGATGAAGTTTTTGAAGTGATTCTATTTCTTTATTTTGAAATTCTTACCAATTATGATTGATTTTTTTCAAAAATAGTAATTTATAATTTATTTTAGAATAAAAAGCAATTTAAAATGGAAACAATTTTATTTGATCAAGTTTTGGAAATAATTCGATTTTTATTTTAAGTCTCTTAAAATTATAATATTTTTTTTTTTTTATAATTTCATTTTAGAATAAAAATAATTTTACTTGATGTGAAGTTTTTGACATGTGATTTGATCTGTTTTTATTTAAGAATTCTTACAATTATAATGACGAAATTTTTATCAAAAAATCATGATCAATTTTAAAATGAAAAGCAATTTAGAATGAAATTAAATGTAAGCTTTCCATTTCAGCACAATTTAATGATTACATATCAATCACTTTAATCTCTCCGTCGAGAAGCACGCATTCGACTTTGCTAAACTGCAACAACTATATGGCAAATTGCTGAGAGATTCCGTCATTAGAAACGGTCTCGGCTATCCGTGAATGCAGCTAAGTAAGTGCAATTAACCTTCTGATGGGTGTGCAACGCCAGTGAAAGTTCCAACGCTGGCTATTTACATTCGTCCAGAGATTATTTCAATCGTTCGCGTCGCACAGAGCGAGTGATTCAAAATTCGCCTCAGCGGTTAATTTCATGCGACCAATTAAAGACCGCCCTTTTTTTCTGGCGAGCGAAAGGAGCGATTGTGAGCGAGAAAGATGCGCCCAAAACTAAAAGGAAGGCTGCGGTGTCAAGCACCGTGACCGGCATTGCGAGAGATGAATCACAGGATGTTGTTTTCACGAGAGAAGCTGCAAGTTCATCACCCCTCCTGAATTCGAATGAGCATCAGAAGCTTTCCTTCCATGCCCGTTTTTTGTACCAAAAAGTCTCAAATTATGGCAAGATTCAAAATAACTCAACAAAACCAGAAACTTCGCTAAAAAATTTCAGCCGCAATTTAATCAAGTTTTTTCTGTAAATCTAAACATTAATTAGTAATTGATAATATCATTTTTTTAAATTAAAATTTAATAAAATCCTTGCTTTTAAGTAAAATAGAGATAAAAATTAAATTGAATTTAAATTTTATCTTTTTAGTGTCGTCTTTTCATATTTTAAATTTAAATTAAAATCAACTTTATTCAAGCAGCTGGAGCAACTCGAAATAAAAAAGGGACAACGCCCTAACATCAAAGAAACATAACTCGTGTTCCTATCTGCAGGGTTATTTTATTACCAGCCTGCGCCGGTCGGGGATTGAATTATGCCGAGTGAAGGGGTTGACCTCGCAGCAAGTTTGGATTTATAATTGATACTGCAGCTTGAGTGCTCTCCTCGTCCAGATAATCCAGCTTAAAAGTCTTATCGGGCATTCCAATTTGGTCTCTAATTTATTTATTGCACTTCTTCTGAAACTCAAGAGAGGCGCAATTGGCCAGTGATTTATTTATTTTTCTTCTCAATTGGCCGCGCACGGGCGGATTAGTTTTTCTTTTATGAAAGGCAGCCGTATAAAGGTCTGCGCAAAATTATTCCGAGCACATGTCCTGCGGTCAGCCATCGTTTTATGGGTGCAACGAGCAGAATGATTGAATATACAAATTTTTTTCTCCT